TGGATTTGTGAAGATCGACTGTAAAGACCTATGGCTGTAAAACTTGGTGGTACTCCTAGCCATCTTCTGATGTGACTGTTTATCTTTCTTTCTACGCCTTAGACTGTTGTTGCTGTCATTTCATAGATCATGAGAAGCCATGTCAGTCTTGGTAGCAATCCATGTTGGTATATACAAGCTTTAAACTTCCCAGGCAACCCACTTTTATCTACCTTCTTAAGCTATTCTTCAACCTGTGTTTGTAATGTCTTCACATTGGTATTGTCTTTTAGGGTGTCATCAAACCATTTTTCAAGGCACTTTATAGGGTTATCTACAGTTGTTGGTATCTCGTCCCCTTGGATCTTAAGCTGGAACTTTGTTGTTATCTGACCCTTCCTGAGTATCATTGATCTTGATTTCCTTGGCTTAAATTTCATCCTGACCCACGAGACTACCTCTTCCAGTGCTAAAAGTATCCATCTTGCTTGGATATGGGATGACATTGTAACTGTAAGGTCATCCATGAACCCTCTTGTTGCTGGTAGAAAAATCCCTGAATCTGTCTTTGGACCTCTTGTTTCTCTTTCAGCGGCCTTCATGATGATATTCATGCTCATAATGAATAGTATCGGCGAGATGGTACAACCCGTAACTATTCCTTTCTCTAGTTTCTGCCATGCTGTTGTCTTATTGTCTACAGTAAATCGCAGCTGTATTCCACCAAAATAATTTTGGACTATCTTTCTGATGTGATTTGGAATGTGGTAGTGATCCATTGCCATCTCGATCATTTTGTGTGGTACTGATCCATACGCATTTGCCAGATCTAACCATACAACTGCCAAATTCTTCTTTCCGGTCTTCGCCTCATGTATGAGTTGGCTTAGAACACTAGTATGTTCTACACACCCTGAAAACCTGCAATGCCTCCTTTTGCATAGATGTATCGATGTAACCATTCTCTACCATATACTTTGTCATCCTGTTTGCCAAGACAGAGAAGTAGATTTTCCCCTCTACGGTCAGCAGTGAAATTGTTCTAAACTGTGAAATGTCTTTTGAATCTTTTTCCTTTGGTACAAAGCACCCTTCTGCCTTCTGCCAGCTTTCTGGAATGGTCCCTTTTTTCCATAGTGTTCGGAATAGCTGCCATAGTTTCCTTAGTATCTTTGGGCATTTCTTGTAGACTTTGCACGGTACACCCCACTGTATCCAGGTGCTGATCCTGTTGTTGCCTTTTTTACCACCTCACTAACTTCTTTCCATGTTGGTTCCTTAGTTTCAAAGTCTATTGTTGGTTGTTCTTCTTCTTCAACTCTTGGACAATATCCCAAAGGTACCTCTCTCCCTTATGTCTGAGTGTGTTTCATGCAGATACTTTTCTACTTCTTCCTTACTACAATGCAGATGTCCTGTTCTTTCTCCACCCAACAGTGTTTTTGCGTAGTTAAATGGATTCTTGATGAAATTCGCTCTATTTTTCGCTTTTTTCTTTTTACTATTCTTGAGTTGTTCTGCCCTTTTAGTTCTTCTCAACTCATCTCTAATACTGTCTGTAAGGCAGGCTATTCCTAACTGCTCTATCTCATTGCTTCTCTTGTACCGCCTGTTTAGGTCTTTGAGCTCCTTCCTTAGCTGTTTAATTCTCTGTTCTATCCAGTTTGGTGTCGGCTTGATGTTACTTCTTTCTTTCCTCTCCTCAACACCAAATCTCTTTTCCGATGTTATACACTAGAGTAGTCAGTGTTTCTATCCTCCTCTCAACACATCCTTGCAGTGATGTTTCCAGAATTACTCCTAAATCATCGTTCAGATCTCTCCATTGGGCTTCACTGTTCATCTTTGGCCATGCTATCCTTTCTTTCTGATGTGATGTCTCTTGCCTTTGCTGCCTGTGTAATGTGCTCCTCACAATTCAAGCTTTGGCTGCTGTTGTGGGATGATACTGATGCAGAGAGATTCCTTGCACTATGGTTTGTGTCCTGGCTAGGATTCTCCTGCGTCTCACCAGATATATCTGTGCGCTGCTCTGTAACAATTCCTCGACTGCATCCAGACCTTGACTGGTGAATCTTTAAGCCTCTTTGGTTCTTGTAGTTCTTTCCACAATGGCAGTTAGCTTCTGCTTTCTCTCCTGTCAAAGTTGTTTGCGCCATCTGTGTCGTTGTCCGTTTTCGTTTCCAAGTCGTTGCCGTTTGATCTGTTTTGTTGAGCCTCTCATCCTTCCCTCTCTCGGGAGACTATGGTATACTTCTTCATTCTGTGTAGTAGCTGTCGTTGGTGTTCCCTCACGGAAACCACACTTAGGGTAGCTATATATATATATTAATTCAAGATAAAAAGGCATGAATTTGACAGATACAATATATTACAATGACACAGATATAGCACTAGACATAATTTATAGACACTAAAATGATTTACATTTTACTAAAAATTTTAATTTAAAAAATAAAATTATGAAACTTTTCATGATATTTTGATAATATGAATAGACTAGATTAAATAATGAGTGAAATTTAAATTGACTAGATTTTCACTGTAGCCTAATATCTTAGGATGACCCACAAAAGTTATTAAAACTTATTTCCAGTGGGGTCCTTTTATGACGAGACTTCCAGTTGACACAAAGGGTTGACACATAGAAAAATACAAACACAAATCATTTAGAATTTATCACAGATAAATGGTCAAAGCCCCAGTATAATTAATAAAAAAACAAATTCACTATTAAAGATGGATTTAAATTTATCCATCAAAAACTTTTTCACTTGTACTTTAAAATTATATTTTTAGAGCAACTTTTAATCATGTTTGGTAACGAATTCCATTCTTTTATTCCATTATAAAAGAAAGTGGTGGATTCACACCCTTTAATTCCTGGTATATAAAAGTTTTTACTACTAGATCTTGTATTGAAAGATGTTTCATTTCTAACAAAATTAGTATGTAAATAATTTGGGCATATATTGTTAAAAATGTTGAAAACATGATTGAGTCTTAGTTGTTTGACTCTATTACTAATATTTAAAAAGCCCAATTTCTTAAATTCAATATAAGTCACACTCTTTCTGGGATGTAATTGCAGAATAAATCTCACAATCTTATTTTGTGCCACTTGAAGTTTATTCTTCATTTGTTTTGATATACCTTCATACCAGCATGCATATGCATAGTCAAAATGACATTGAATTAGAGAAGAGCACAATGTTTTCCTAGATTGAAAATTTAGACACTCTTTGTTTCTATATAAAAATTTAAGCCTTTGATTGACTTTTTTTCACTATAGAGTTGACAATAAAATCACCAGTTAGAAACTGATCAATTGTTATTCCCAAATATTTTACAAAAGTTTTGGATTCAATATTAATACCATTACAGGAGATATCAAAATCACCCGGTATTAAAGACCGAAGTTTTCGACCAGGACCAAAAATTGTACTCTCCGTCTTTTCCAAATGTAGGGACAATTTATTGTCAGTTAACCAATCATGGCATGATTCCAGCATTCTGGATAATTTATGCGAGATGACCCCAGGGTCTATATGGGAAAATAAAATTGCAGTATCATCTGCATATATCAAAACTTTACAATCCGAGTCGATGCTAGTTTGAACATCATTGACATAGTTCAAAAACAATAGTGGACCCAGTAAGCTACCTTGAGGGACACCACATGTAATATTACATACTTCTGAAATCACCCAATTTACACTTACAACCTGTTTTCTGTTTGTCAAATATGACTCAAACCAAGGTATAGATCTAACCCCAATTACTTCTAATTTGTCACATAATATCTTGTGATCTACTGTGTCAAACGCCTTCTGTATGTCTAATAGGACCATGCCTGTAAAAAGACCTTTGGCTGTTTGAGTTTTAATGTGATCTATCAAGTGAATGAGACAAGAATCAGTTGAATATGAACTTCTAAATCCTGATTGAAACTCAAATAATAAATTATTTGAAATCAAAAAATTTTCAAGTTGCTTATAGGCAGCTTTTTCTAGAATTTTAGAAACAACACTTAAAATGCTAACAGGCCTGTAATTTTCAGGCTTAAGTCTGTCCTTTTTCTTAAATAGGGGATTGACCTTAGCCATTTTCAGATCGTCAGGTACCGTACCTTCAGAGATAGATAAATTTATCAAGAAAGTAAAAGGTATTTTCAGAATTGGGGCTGCATCCTTAAGAAACCTTGCTGGAATACCATCTAGGCCCATGCTCTTACTTATATTCAAACTGCATAGTTCTTTATACACAAATTCCTCTGTTACATGCTTTAGGTCTGATTTCTTTCTCTGAACATAAAAGGATCTAACAATATTTGTAGTAGCACTATATAAACCCTTTGCAGTTGGTAGTTTTTCTGCCAATTTTGCAGCGATAGTTGTAAAATACATGTTAAAATTATTTTATATTTTTTTTTGTTATCGTGACAGTTTTGCTCATCAATATTTAATACTATATTAGGATTTGATTTGGGATCTTTTTGATATCCTAAATTTTTAAAACTTTTCCAAAGTTGTTTTGGGTTATTTCTGTTTTCTTCAATTTCACTGCTGTAATAGTCAGATTTTGCAGTTTTGCATGATCTTTGAACATGATTTCTAAGTTTACTAAACTTTTTGAAATCTTCAGCTGACCCCGAGTGCCCATACCAGTCTATTCCCGGCTGCCAGCTGTCCCACCAGCGTCACTGGTCTTCCCCAGTCGCCATTCAGCCTTTCCTGACGGTCACTGGTTTCGTATGAAGATAACCCTGAGAAAGTCTAATATAAGGTATACAAAATTACTTAAATGAAATGATCATAACTTCGAATCCCGTACCTCTAAAAAAACGGCACATTTTTTTTCTCTTAATCAATGTTGTTCTAAAATAAAAGTTCAGTTTAAAATCATGAGTTGCTTTGGAAGAGTTTAGTTAGGATTTTTTTTTCTCCAATAACAATGTTCTTTGGTCGAAAAAACAGTAATCAATTTATCTCTAAATATCTGGTTCTTGGTCGAAATGAACAGGCATCCAGTCACTTCCTGTCACAAGGACACACAGACAGATTATCAATGAGTCTATACACACTGTTAATAGTATTGTGAAAGACCATTTACACATTACATTGAGTTACTGTGACATAAAAAAAAACATCAAAATTTTCGGTTTCATAAAGAAAAGGCTCTCCAGTATGATACAAAATGTACCTATATACAGAAATTTACAACCGAAGAAGAACCCCATTAGCGATGATTACCGAATAACCGGAAGTGTTTTAGGGCTTGGTATAAACGGAAAAGTTGTAGAATGTTTCCAGAAGACAACAAATCAAAAATGTGCCTTAAAGGTATCATAAATAAAAATTATACACAGTTACACAGTAGGGGAAAGCTGATCATATCGATAACAGTTTTCCCAAATGAATAACTCTCTCAGATGGACATTTTTCCAATGTTATTTTATTTTAATTTATCAGTATGTGAACAGCTTTAGAGTGATCCTAATAATATGCCATTACCCCCATTTATCAGGTAATCAGTCTTCAAGATTAACCACAATCCCATTATCCCAGGTCTGTGAAAATTTAGGAGGGCTAGTAAAAATTTTCTCTGAAAAACTTTTCCTATCTAGTGCATATTTTTACCTCTGCTATTCTACTGTCATCTATTCAGACAGGTTCTTTTCTTTTCTTCGTAAATTCCTCTGCATTGGAGCACCGGTGTCACACAGTAGTAAAATTTAAAAACCTTATCTTTAAAATATTAAATTATCTTAAAAGAAAAGGTGGTAAGGGGATATCATATAGTTACAGCAGGCCATTATTTATCTTTTTATTATACATTAAGGAGACATTAGTTATGGTAAGATACTTTAAAACAAAAGAACAAAAAGTAAAATTTGAGCTCAAAAAATTTACAGTGGGAATATTTACATCACTAGATTTAATTGCATTAATTACATGTATATAGTAACTCATAAAAATTAAAAGTAACTCAAACCCTAAAATTATGATTATATGTAAGAAATAGTAACTTCTACAGGTTTATACATGATACATGTGATAGTGTCCTCAACCTGTGGTCTTAATCTTATCTAGGATTCTCAACCCTTATCTTATTTGTAATTTCAATATTAAATTTAGTAAAATTGAAAATAAAATGTAAAAAGACAAATTTGTGCCCATTGGGTTAACATCACTTCATATACATTTTGAAGTCTTAGTCGTCTTTTCATGTAGTCTAAGTCAGAGCTCCAGATAAGCTGCGTATTTGCGTGATCACGCAATAAAAATAATTAAAAACCCAATGCAATTGCCCATTGCAGGGTTCAATAACCCAATTAATTCAAAGGAAAACCCAATTATATGCCAAAAACATGGGTTCTTAACGCTTTTATTCGCTATCGTTTGCGTTATTTACCCTTACTTGATTACAGTCGTCGCGTAAATCTATTTTAATAATATTTATAATTGGAAATGTCCTTTCGTTCTAAAAATAGAGCCCTGCATCAAGTAGCTGTAATGGGTCCCTGTCGGAATTTTCCATTGCTCAAAAGGTACACGTGTTTATGAAAACATTTCGATCTTCTCGGCGTTTATCCAATTAGCGTGTGACATGCTGTCATATTTTTTCGAATTGCTCGGGATTTATCATAACATACAATGAATTGAAACGAAAGTAAATGTCCGGTAAAAATATTGAAGTGAATCATGTTTTCGGCTTCTTTTTGATAGCTAAGGGAATGTTATGATGATAACAAGACTTAGCTAGTGATTTTAGGAAGCGGCCATTGAACCCACGGGCGTGTTTGCGTACCATAACGAGAACATTGCTAGAGCGATAAACACGGGGTTCCGTCAAAAACGAAATCATTTGGAAAAAGTGAAAGGCCAAATCAATTATGACATGATATGTAGTTTGAAAGCATCGGAAACCAAAAGTTCTGATAAGGGACAACTTAACTCAGATTTATGTAAATTGAATTAAACGAAAACAGTTTATATATTATTTTTTCATTTTAGTTGATGAGTGAATACACATATCCGTTTTTTACGTCAATGCAGCTTGACACTTTCTTTGTTTTGGTCTAATTGTTCTAGATGCTTAAGATAGTTGTCTTATATTGGCAAGTGCAGTATAACATTGTCATTTATTTACTTGATGTTGCAGTATTATTTGTAAATTTAAGTTGAATGTGGTCTCCGTCATTATAAACCACCCTATAAACCTCAAGGTTTTGGGGTATATCTTAAATCTGGAAACTACTTTTTATTTTTATTAAAAAGTAGATCTGGCAAATAGGTGAAAGGACTAGCAAAACTTTCTTACAGCACCTAAATTTCACATATATTACACAAAAATCTAAACACTTAGCCACACCTACATGGACCCCAATTATAATAGCACATATTCAGGCTACAAAGAAAGAAACACATTTAAGATGGAAACACATCTGGGGTTGATATAATGTGATTATAACATGTCTAAATATTCAATATTGTGTTGATGAAAAAACCCAATACATTAAGGAGCTTGGTGGTGAAAAACCCAATTTGATATTTGCTTGAGGGGTGAATTGGAATTGATAATGCAATTAAAAAACTTTATCACCCAATTACATAAAAAAATGGTGGGTAAAAACCCCAATTTGTGAATTCTTATCTGGAGCTCTGCTAAGTCTTCTTTTGCAACAATATTCTACGAGTATGGTGTCCATAGCACAGATCTCTACTCAGGTTTTCTATTTTAAATATTGTTTCAGGACTAAAGTTCATTTCTTGAGCCAATGTTGTGCAGTCTATAATTATTTGGATAATTAGCTGCCCAGAGGGGTGTTTGCCTCAGGCTTCTGTTTGAGTGTATAAGATGGTTCCTTTCAATTTAGATACATATAACAAGCCTTGCTTAAAACCTGTTTATTTAAGTGATCCATGGCTGTATTCTATTGAATGTTTTATATAAGCATGATTCCATGGACTGGCCTGGGCTACAAAAAGTTGTCACCAGAAAAATAACCAGCATCAAAATATTTGCACCAAGTTCCATGTAACTTTTTATTTGAAAAGTAATTAAACAGGTTGGGGACAACCCGCCAAATGGGGAACTATTCCTCAAATGAGTAACAATCCCTCATTTGAGTAATCAACCGATATAGCTAAAAATGTCATTAACTAACTACTTAAAAGCTTTATATTTTAGAAGTAGGAAGACCTGGATGCTTCATATTTTGTATATAGATGCCTTATGTTATGAAGTTTCCATCTGTCATATGTCCATTATCCTTGACCTCATTTTCATGGTTCTGTGAAAAAAAAGTTAAGATTTTTTGTAATGTTATTTTTATGCCCCCGCCCTAGCGGATGGGGGCATTAAGTTTTACCCTTGTCCGTCTGTACATACGTACGTCCCACAAGTTTCCATACCACAAAGGGATGGTTAGGATTGGCTTTGGGGGGTTATGGATCAAACCGTTTAGGAATAAGGGTCAAAAAAGGGGGAAAACAAGGGTTTCCTGGTTAATGGATAATTACTTAAAAGTACAATGTTATGTTTGGATTACCATACACTGCTTTTAAATTATGTATAAAGAAATGTTGTATTGTCTTTAGGTGATTAGCTGTCAATTTATTTTTAGAAGTTACTATTAAAAATGCTGATTAAGGAATATTAATTTTAGCCATGATTATGTATGTCATTTTTATACGACTGCAAAAAAATTTTTGTGGTCGTATATTGGTATGACGTTGGCATCGTCGTCCGAAGACACATCAGTTTTCCCACTCTAACTTTAGTTTAAGTGAATGGATCTCATTGAAATTTTACCATAAGGTTCAATACCACAAAAGGAAGGTGGGGATTGATTTTGGGGGTTATGGTACCAACAGCTAAGGAATTAGGGGCCAAAAAGGGGCCAAAAATAAGCATTTTTGTAACTTCCAGACATAACTTGTGTGTAAGTGTATGGATCTCTCTGACATTGTACCACAAGGTTCCATATCACAAAGGGAATGCTGGGATTGATTTTGGGGGTAATTGCCTCCAAATTTTAGGAATTAGGGGCCAAAAAGGGGCAAAAAACAAGCATTTTTCTAGTTTTATGACAATAACTTGGGTGTAAGTGTATGGATCTCTCTGACATTGTATCACAAGGTTCCATATCACAAAGGGAATGCTGGGATTGATTTTGGGGGTAATTGCCTCCAAATTTTAGGAATTAGGGGCCAAAAAGGGGCAAAAAACAAGCATTTTTTTTCTAGTTTCATGACAATAACTTGTGTGTAAGTGTATGGATCTTTATGAAATTGTTCTACAAGGTTCCATATCACAAAGGGAAGGCTGGAATTGAGTTTGGGGGTAATTGCCCAAAAAGTTTAGGAATAAGGGGCCAAAAATAAGCATTTTTCTAGATTCCAGACAATAACTTGTGTTCAAGTGTATGGATCTCTCTGAAATTGTACTGCAAGGTACCATACCACAAAGGGAAGGCTGGGATTGATTATAGGGGTAATTCCCTCAAAATTTTAGTATTTAGGGGCCATAAAAGGGCAAAAAAACAAGCATTTTTCTAGTTTCAGGACAATAACTTATGTGTAAGTGTATGGATCTTTAAGAAATTGTACTGCAAGGTTCCATATCACAAAGGGAAAGCTGGGTTTGAGTTTGGGGGTAATTTCCCTAAACGTTTAGGAATTTGGGGCCAAAAAGGGGCCAAAAAACAAGCATTTTTCTAGTTTCCAGACAATAACTTGTGTTCAAGTGTATGGATCTCTCTGAAATTGTACTGCAAGGTACCATACCACAAAGGGAAAGCTGGGATTGAGTTTGGGGGTGATGTCACAAGGTTGGCAAAAAAGCGGTCAATACTAGTATTGACCAGGCCAGCGGTAAATACCGGGAAATACTGGCAAATACTGGTCAATACTGGCAAATACTGGTCAATTGAAATTTTGATAAGATATTACTATTAAATACAGTCCCTACCTGGTCAACTACAGGGTAAATGGACAAATTGTAAAGGACAAAAACTCACGATTAATTAGTTAACAAGTTTTTGAATATGTAAGGGAAAATCCTTGGAATGAATTCATTGTAATGTTTATGAGATTGATAATAAACATGGTTAAATGAAGATTTATTAAATATTAATCCTACAAAGGATATTTCTTGGTACCATGAAGCCAGTCATGAAAAAGTATGACAGCTTGTTTTCTTAACAGTAATTTCAGCAAATGTAATAAAACAATGTCTTATAAATTAGTCTTTTCTTAATCAAAGAAATAGTTCTTTCAAAATTGCATTGTGACTTTCTGTCCTGTGATATTTAGCCCTACATCATGTACATTCAATTACTGTTAGTCATGAAAATATGAAAGTTTTCAAGTCAAAATTAGACTTTTTTAATGTTATCTTTTCTTATATAAATTGAAATTATACATGAACACATCATGGACAGTGATTATTAGAATAAATTAAAGAAAAAGAAAAACAGCAGCCAAAGTATAGATCCTTCAAAATTTCCATTTTCTGTATTTACATGATTTAGTTTTAGAAGATATTTATCATACAGTTGAATAGTCAGGAATAAAATAATTGTTTTAAACAGTCTTCAAAAATAACTTTTATGACTTTTTTCCTGTTATGTCAACATTTATTAGGGGGGCAGTTGTAATATTGAATAAACTTTTGACACCTGCTTGCCATTTAATAGGTAATGCCCTGATAATCTAGTCACCTTTAATTCTATTTACCTGTTAAAATCATACCTTTTCAAGAAAAAAATATATATATTTTATACATGTTGAAATAACTGATATAGCAATTTTATATTCATACCTAAACTATGTTATATCATTACCCATAAGAACTGAATAAGTCATTATTCATGCTAATAGTTGATAAAACATACCAATATCAATCCTTTTTATAAACTGAATCATGCCTTATGAATAAAATTAAAATAATTTCCCCTATCAACTAAGATTTAACTAACATTGATAGTAAAAATCTGTCAAAAGAACAATGAAAATTTCAATTGTCCAGTATTTGCCAGTATTGACCACTTGAGGAGTATTGACCGGGACGGTAAATACCGGTAAATACCACTGGTAAATACCGGGGGTGGTATTTACCGCCCAACCTTGGGTGATGAATCATAAGGGGGTTCAAAAAATTGGGGGGTGGGGGGGTTTCCCTTTTTTTTCTTTAAAATTTTCCATTTTAAATTGGTTATTTCTGATTTATATATAAAAGCAAATAATAATTATATGGTTTGAATAGGTAAATTAAAAAAATTTAAGTTCTTAGACCACTTTCATTCTGTGTGAGAAACCTATGCTGTGTCAAATATTTAATTACAATCCAAATTCAGTGCTGTATCAAGCTTGAATGTTGTGTCCATACTTGCCCCAACTGTTCAGGGTTCGACCTCTGCGGTCGTATCAAGCTGTGCCCCAGCGGAGCATTTTATCTATTTTAAGACTTTTATGATGTATTTAAATGGGTAATTATGGTTGCAAACTCCATTGGAAATTTAAATTGAGATATAAATTCAAATCATATAGCCAATTCTAAGTTCTTTGACTACAGTTATTCTGTGTCAGAAACCTGTTACAGTCTTCACGCTTAACCACAAGTCCTACAACATTGGCTTGTAAAATTGCTTTCGGACTTGTAAAATTCTTCTCTAAAAGCCAACAGAATCCAACTAAAATTTTCAAAAAATTGAGCTTCGGGCTTGTGGACTCAAAAGTTAATCGTGAAGGCTGCTGTTATGTGTCAAATATTTAATAACAATCCAAATTCAGACCTGTATCAAGCGGGAATATTGTGTCCATTTTTGCCCCAACTGTTCAGGGTTGGACCTCTGCTGTTGTATCCAGCTGGGCTCGGCGAAGCAATTTATTTGACCTTGATCTCATTTTCATGGTTCATTGGTCAATGTTAAATTTTCATGGTTAAGTTTGTTTCTTAGATACTATAAGCAATAGGTCAACTATATTTAATGCATAGATTGATTGTAAGGTGTACATGTCTGTCTGGCATGGTTCATCTGACCTTGACCTCATTTTCATGGTTCATTGGTCAATGTTATATTTTCCTGGTTAAGTTTGATTCTTAGAAACTATAAGCAATAGGTCAATTATATTTTGTGTATGGAATGATTGTAAGGTGTACATGTATATCCGGTTTGGTTTATCTGACTTGACCTCATTTTCTTGGATCATGTTAAGTTTATGCGATACTTGTAATAAAGCTTTATATTTAGGACTATCAACATAAAATCAATGATCAGTAAAGCAGGCAAGACATTTCGTTCGAAGGGAAATAACTCAAAATGGTCTTGCTAAAAGATGAATCGCAGAACCTATCTTAAATTACGGCAGGGCTTTAAGAAAAAACGACAGGGCGCTACACCACACCAAAACCTGTAGGAAACACTAAATCTTTCTAATACATAGCAAATTCTATATTGTTATGAAATAAATATGTAATAATCCTGAAGATGAAAGTACCTGCTGCTGGTTGTTAAGCAGTCATCAATCGAGGTAAATTGACATTTCTCAACACAACTAACATTTTGAAAACTAAATGTAAAAATTTGTTTGTTTTATGGAAGACTATTATGTTTTAAGAAATCTTGTTTTAACACTTTGAAAATATCCATTATGAACATTATATTTTCTTTCAGGTCTTACGGGATGTGCCAAAGGCTAGAAGAGAAGTTGATTTACATTGGCGGGCTTCAGGATGTCCTTATATTGTCAGAATAATTGATGTTTATGAAAATGTCTACAGTGGTCAGAGATGTCTACTAGTAGTGATGGAATGGTAAAATAAGATTAAAATGCATATGATATATATGTGATCAGTTTTAGATTCATCAGGTGTTCAAAATAATGAAGGTCCGACATTTTGGCCTTTCCGTTCCTGAGTGTAAACCTCTTTAATATCCCATAGTGGACCTTTGAATTGTAAATCCAAAAATTCATGAATATTTTAACTCTGCAATTAATTTTGAACCCCTGATCAATTACACAAATATAGCAGTTGTTTGAACTAATCTAATGTAAAATTTAACATATTAGAATTTTGAAATACTTTGGCAAAGACTACATGTAATTGTATGCAGGTTAAAAGTTGTCGAAAAGATTGTCAGAAAACACTGAGAAGTATAATGTACCTGTGTATGTGAGATATAGTTTGGTATCAATAAATACTACCAGAAAACAAAATCATTGATAATTGACCATTACAGTCATCATAAACATGTAATACAAAACTGGTCAGCATCAATTTACTTACTCTGACCAACATCCTTCTCAAAAATTTTCCCTGTTGATCATCTGTATCTTATTTTTGGTTTACTGTGGATGCTTATATCTTTTTGAAACAAAATAACAATTACATTTCCTTTTTTGCTGCATCATATTTATTTGCAGCAGAAAAAAAACAAGATTATGGTGGTGACTTGTTATAACCCAAAATTAAAATGGCAACTCTTAACCATGAAAAGTTTGAAACTAGTTGGTAGACTGTTCAACTTTGTATGCCATTTATGTTTTAAGTCATTCAGAAAACTGTTAACTGTTCATTCAATAATGAGACATAAAATATATTTTTAATTTACATATAATGAAAAAACAAGAAACATGTATATATTACAACTTGAATGAAATAACCAATATGTTTGGATATCATGTGAACTCTTTCCAATATTGTTTTTTCTAGTATGGAAGGTGGAGAATTGTTCAGTCGAATACAAGAAAGAGCTGACAGTGCATTCACAGAACGAGGTAAAAATATTGATTTAAATATACAAATGTGTAGACCACATGCAGAATATAGAAAAATAAAAAATGAAGGAAAAGATTTGTGAGGTAATTGTTAATGAAACAGAAGCTTAACAACTTTAGGTCAAATTTTTTACCAATTTATGATATCTTTTAACTTTTTTCTTAGTTTTGTTAGTAGTCAAAAGATAACACTCATTAAAATGTGAGACAACACACTGGTATGTAAATTAGTGAGAAATGTACACTCCATATACAATTAACAAGCCAATAAAAAACCGCCATGAAGGAAAAGAATGGAAAGTTGTCCAGTTTGTCAAAAATATTGGGATGAAGATCAAGATTAGTATTAGAAATTCTAATTTCAAGGTCTAGAAAAGTAAATGATCAGTTTCAGCATTAGATTTAGTAAGTTTGATTTGAGGTGCTCTCACATGTACAATACTTTCCATTTTATCAAACTTATATCAGAGGTTTATATCAGCAATTTCTCTGACAAGTTCGAAAATCAGATGATCAACTATTTTTAAAGAGTTATGCCCCTTTTAAACATTGATTATATGGAAAATTGCATTTTAAACACTTTTAAACCTACATTTCTCAAAGATATTTATAAAAAGTTTGAAGGAATCAAACAATTTTTTTATTATACATGTAGTTATTGTCCTTGGACTCGGAACATTGGAATTCTGTTCTATTATTTATAAAGAATTTGTGAGCTTCAGAGATTTTTGAAAATATTTTTTTTTAATTTTTTTTTTTTTATTCATAAACAGATTTATAACAGTAAAAATTCGTAAGGGTTCCGCGGAACCCAGTGTCTCGCCTACTTTTTGCTGTTAATCACAGGCTCAGCAAAAATGAGGAAAAAAATTAATAAAAATATTCCTCTCTATACTATCTTTTGATTGTAAGTAGCTTCTGTCCAAGTTTGGTAAAAATCCAGGATAGTTTATGAATCTAATAAATGTTTTAAAAACTTAAACTGCAGACTGTATGTAATGTTAACTGGAAGAAAAACTAAGTCCATTTATAAGTAAAATACGGAAAAAATGGAACAAAATTTCCTTCTAGATACTAGCTTTTGATCATAAACAAGCTTCTGTCTAAGTTTGGTACAAATCCAGGATAGTTTAAGAAAGTTGTTAAAATTTTAAAAACTTTAACCACAGAGTGAATGTAATGTTAACTGGCAGAAAAACTAAGTCCATTTATAAGTAAAATACGGAAAAAATGGAATTTTTTTTTACAAAATTTACTTCTGGATACTAGCTTTTAATCATAAACAAGCTTCTGTCCAAGTTTGGTACAAATCCAGGATAGTTTAAGAAAGTTGTTAAAATTTTAAAAACTTTAACCACAGAGTGAATGTAATGTTAACTGGCAGAAAAACTAAGTCCATTTATAAGTAAAATACGGAAAAAATGGAATTTTTTTTTTTACAAAATTTACTTCTGGATACTATCTTATGATCATAAACAAGCTTCTTTCCAAGTTTGGTAGAAATCCAGGATAGTTTAAGAAAGTTATTAAAATTTTAAAAACTTTAACCACAGAGTGAATGTAATGTTTCCTGGCAGAAAAACTAAGTCCATTTATAAGTAAAATACGGAAAAATGGATTTTTTTTTTTACAAAATTTACTTTTGAATATTATCTTATGATCATAAACAAGCTTCTGTCCAAGTTTGGTAGAAATCCAGGATAGTTTAAGAAAGTTATTAAAATTTCAAAAACTTTAACCACAGAGTGAATATTTGTGGACGCCGCCGACGACAACGACGACGACGACGACGACGACGCCGACGGAATGTAGGATCGCTATGTCTCGCTTTTTCGACAAAAGTCGAAGGCTCGACAAAAATGTATAAATTTGTGATAAGATGTTGTCTGGGGACACAGTGTTATGTTTCATTTGATCTCTATGAAATTTATCCATTAACTATGATTCTTAACAGAAAAGTAACAAATTAATGAGAGGAGTAGTTTTACAATTACTGGATGTGGATATCATTTGTATAACTAATGAAGCTAATACTTTGTGCTGTGTTCAGTTCCATTTTTGTTGAAAGATTCTCCTTCAGTTTGAAGAAGTAGGTATGAGAATTTGAAATCTAAGATATGAGTTTCTCAATTTTCTAAAAATCTTGTTTTTTTCTTCTTTCTATAACAGAGGCAGCAGAAATAGTAACTCAGGTGGCTAGTGCCATTCATTACTTACATTCCATGAACATAGCACACAGAGATTTAAAGGTAGGAATGTAAATGTTAATCTTCATAGCAGTGATATTCACGGGTAAAGTTGAAAGCTCTTTGGATCTACAATTTCATGTAATCTGGCTATAATCGTGATAATGTTGAGTTATGCCAAGATAGCACCTTCAATTCTTATTGAGGATTTACTTCTATCAAAATCATTGGTATGTTAGATAAGCAGAACAATTGGAAATCAAGATCATTTTTATACGCCCGTTTACGGGACTATTATGGTATACCGTTGACTGTCTGTCCGTCATCAACATGTCAGACAGTAACTCAAAAAAGCTTTAACCAATATGCATGAAACTTTGGTGAATTGTTTATATCTATTGACGTGAGCTCCCTTTCGTTTTTTATAAATTTCAGATTTACCGTTTCCGAGTTTTGGGGTTTTATTCATTAAAAAAGGGGGTATTTTCCAGTTTTCTGACAATAACTCAAGAATGCTTTCACCAACTTGCAAGGAATTTTGGTGAATTGTTTATATCTATTGATATGAGCTCCCTTTCGATTTTTATAAATTTTAGATTTAATGTTTCCGAGTTACAGGGTTTTATTCATTAAAAAAGGGGGATTTTCCAGTTTTTGGACAATAACTAAAAAATGCTTTCAGCAGTTCTCATGAAACTTTGGTGAATTGTTTATATCTGTTGATGTAAGCTCCCTTTAGAATTTTATAAATTTTAGATTTTAAATTTCTGAGTCATGGGGTTTTATTCATTAAAAAAGGGGGGATTTTCCAGTTTTTGGACAATAACTCAAAAATGCTTTCAGCAGTTCTCATGAAACTTTGGTGAATTATTTAAAGCTATTGATATAATCTCCCTATTGATTTTCATAAATTTCAAATATGACATTGAGAATTAATTGAACTTTATTTGTTTATAGTCTGACAACAGATTTACTTAGTATTGCACAACAGCTAGAAATCTTTAATTGAAGATAAATTCAATTCATATAACCAATTTCAAGTTCTTTGACTACATTTATTCAGCAACCTATAATATGTCAAATATTTAATTACAATCCAAATTCAGACCTGTATCATGCTTGAATATTGTGTCCATTTTTGCCCCAACTGTTCAGGGTTGGACCTCTGCGGGTGTATCCAGCTGCGTTCAGCGAAGCAGTTTATTGTTGTTTGGGTGAGGGAAAAAATTATCACTTAATTTTTCTGTCACCGGGTTAGTACCTAAATAGTTTTTTTGTCAGACTTAGGTTCAGGGCTCACGCTACCAGGCGACTAGAGCGAAGAAGTCGCTTTCCCGTCCGTCACTTCGCTTTGCCTGACCCCCAAAAGTGAAAACAAGTCGCCCTGTTGTTTAGGATACTTGCTTTCAGTCGCTTTCGTCATCGGCAATATTCAATTTTTACCAAGTTGACGAAACAGCAATTTTCATTTAAAAGTAAAGAAATTCAAGGCATAAACGATTTATTTTCTTCAAAAAAGAGGTTAAAGCATTGATTTATAAGCTGGTGGCATGTTATTTTATAATAAAAACAATTTGTTATCACTTCCGGTACTTGTTACACGAAATCATTCTAACTTTCGGCAAAATAAGTTATTACTTCATTAGAACTTGATGAAATTTGCCTGAAGTAAACTTGTTATCCATGTATTGCATTAAAAACGTCATATTCCTTTCCAAATAGCGTGTCAAACATCGTTTATTTTTGTAAATTTTTCTTTGTCCGACATTTAAATTATTGGGCATACTATTGTACAATTACGGATCAGGGTCGGGATTTCATCGGAAACTGACCCGCTATGACCGAAATCCGGATTCTTGCGATAATGACTACGGACGCATTGAATGGCACTACTGACAGACAAAAATTGATCCCAAAAGGAAAAATTACGCATTCGACACGCATTAACATACTTTTGGTTAGATCTTCTTGATTAATGTATATATTTCCATGTATATGCATTGTTCCAATTGATAAGTTAAAGTTGCTCAACTCTGGGACTATTACACTAATATAATTGTATTATGTCCAAGCTTAACTGTTAAATTTATATATCTTTTTAATGAGAAATAATTAATTTCATGAACATGATAACAGAGTATTTTTTTTTTAATTGAATTTTATTTTATTTTTTATTGCCAGATATTTAAATGTTTTTTTCTGACAAGAGAACTCATTTGATTGTGCAACTAGATATGATAAAATTAAACAACTTTAAATTTGAACAGTTACTTTAATCATGTTAATTGTATTCCCAGGTACAAATTGAACAATATAAAAAAGATAAGATACATATGGCCCTTAATGTATTATAGTAGAATCCAAACATTGTAGCCCCGCGAGCGAACAAGCACTTCTCTTTCAAATCTCACCACTTCTCCCTCTCAATTTCAAAAAGAGAAGTCACTTCTCCCTATGATTCTGAAGTAGTGTGAGCCCTTAGGTTTACTCTTTTCATAGACACATTGATTAATTAGATAATTCTCAAAATATCATGTGATCATTCTTTTCTTTTAGAAAGTGTATTGTTGCAATTTTGAAATGGAGGTTTATCTTTATAAGAACATTTGATGAGTTCTGAAAAATCAGGAAATTGGAACAATTTCGTGGGGAGGGGAATTATAGCATTCTATTTTTATCCCATCCTTTAAAAAAGGTGGGGGGAGTATAAAGTTATGCATACATCTGTTCGTCCATCTGTCAGTCACAAGTTTGGTTTCTGGATGATAATTATAGTACTACTAGACCAAATCTTTCTAAACTTTTACACAATTTCATGAACCATAAAACTGAAGTTCGATGTTGATGATTTTGAAATTTACTGTTCGAAATTTATGACTAAGTTACCTTAAAATATGGATTTTCTCCTGGTTCCAGATAATAATTGCTATACTTCTTGATCAAATCGTTTGAAACTTTAACACATTGTCAGGTACCATAAAACACAGGTCACATTCAAAAGTTATTTAGTTACATTAACACTTAGACTTTTTTGGTTTACTGGTGATTTTGCAAGAACCACAAAACAAAATCTTACACAGTTACGATACATAAACTACAGGTCACATTCATTATCGATTTTGCCATTGGCATTTACATATAAAGAGGTTTTTTTTTTCTGCAAGAAAGGGATCTGTGATCACTAGACACCTAACTCTAGTTTTATTTGTGTTGGGACATGGATATGTTAGCTTCCTCTCTGAATTTCTTTTATCTATGGACACAAAAGACTGGCAGCAATAATTGCTGTCACTGAAAAACATAGCAGCAGTAGGAGTACATTTACTCATTACTTTTAATTTATTGTTTTTGGTGGGAAAGGAAATAAACTAGAATTTTATGATAATGGAAGTATTTGATTGCTAGTATTTCTGTTGAGTGTATATTAATCAATTCTGACTGTAGTGCTGCATAATTTTAAATCAGTATCTTAGGAAGCAGATAGTGACTGTCGTTCTTATTGAGGTGTTTTATACTTTATATCTATGTATTTGCAGCCAGAAAACTTGCTATATACAAGAAAATCTTCAGAAGGCGTTTTAAAGTTGACGGATTTTGGATTTGCCAAAGAAATAACTACACATACAAAAAGTTTACAGACACCATGTTATACACCATATTATGTTGGTAGGTTATTCAAAACTATACTATTTATATAGTTTATGATACATGTATGGAAACTAATTATAAATAGTCTACTGTCTGTTTATAGCTATTCTATTACAGTTTTTATACGACCGCAAAAATTAAAAAAATTTTGGTCGTATATTGGTATCACGTTGTCGTCGTCGTCAACGTCGTCCGAAGACAGATGGTTTCCGGAAAATAACCTTAGTATAAGTAAATAGAAATCAATAAAATTTTAACACAAGGTTTATAACTACTAAAGGAAGATTGGGATTTATTTTGGGGGTTATGGTCCCAACTGTTTAGGAATTGGGGGCAAAAAAAGGGGCCCAAATAAGCATTTTTGTAGTTTCCAGACAATAACTTGTGTTAAAGTGTATGAATCAATCTGAAATTATACCACAAACTTCCATACAACAAAAGGATGGTTAGGATTGACTTTGGGGGGTTATGGCTCAAACCATTTAGTAATTAGGGGCAAAAAAAGGGGAAAAACAAGGGTTTTTCTGGTTAAAGGACAATTGAGACAATTTAAAAGCAGTGTAAGGGAGGTAATCCAATTCAAATTAAAGAACACTGGTTGATTACCTCCCTTACACTGCTTGTAAATTATGTACATTTGTATTAAGAAATGATGATTGTCTTGAGGTGATTAGCTGTCAATTTATTTTTAGCAGTTACTATTAATGAATATTAATTTTAGCCATGAGTATGTATGTCATTTTATATTCTAAAACTTTTATGATGTATTTAAATGGGTAATTTTGGTTGCAAACTGCATTAGAAATTTGAATTGAGATACTGACCATATCTTGAGGGAAGGAATTTTTTTGGGGAATAAGGGAAAGGGGGGAGGTGAAAAAAATTGGAGGGGGGGACAATTTTTCTCATTTCAGATTTCAGAAATTAAAAGAAAATTTCTTAAAATATTTTTTTGGGGGGGTTAATATTCAACAGCATAGTGTATTGCACACAAGCAAAAAACCGGGGTAAAATAAATTTTTTTTGGTAGGGGGGAGGAGGTCAATTCGCAACAGCATAGTGTATTTCACAAAAGCAATAAATTGAATATAAATTCAAATCATATAACCAATTTGAAGTTCTTTGACTACAGTTATTCTGTGTCAGAAACCTATTATGTGTCAAAAATTTAGTTACAATCCAAATTCAGACCTGAATCAAGCGTGAATATTGTGTCCATTTTGGCCCAACTTTTCAGGGTTGGACATCTGCGGTCGTATCCAGCTGCGCTCAGCGAAGCAATTTATTATAACTTTTTATACAACAGCAAATTTATGTCTACAGGCGATGTATATACCAACGAATAAACAAATCTTCCAGTTTTTTCGAGATGTATGACTTGTAAAACCATCTCTCTCTGTGCCACATGAATAATGCATGAAAATTTCTCCTATTAAAATATAGGGAACTACATCCAACAAGAAAATTTAAATACATGAAAAAGTTGCCAACATGAAGAATAAGTTTTATTAAGTTAATATCTTATTGGATTGATTATGTTCTTGTATATAATATATGGTATTGTAAAGTCAGAAATTACTGCATGCATTTATTATTGCAATATTTGAAGAATAGACAGAAATGAAGGATCAATTGTTGCGATTTCAAAAAAATCTGTTAACAAATATATGTATCATATATCAGAATGCTAGTTCTTATTATTGCAATATTCACCCAGTCACATTATTTGAATTAATAAAAAAAACAGCAAAAATTTCTGAAATGAATTTGCAGTATATGAATAATATTCAATATTATTAACTTGTTGTTCATGTTTTGTTCTGTCTTTACAGCACCTGAAGTGTTGGGTCCAGAAAAATACGACAAATCATGTGATATGTGGTCATTAGGTGTTATTATGTATATTTTGTAAGTATAGTGATTTGTTGTTTTATAATGCAATCCTGCAAAATACCAAACAGACATCAAATTTTTGTTGTTCAAGGGATATTATCTTCAGCCTATTGCAAGGTTAATCTGGAATTTTCGGACCAGTCCCCTAAATCTGATTTAAAAAATCATTTTTGCATATCATTATCACTTATACCATCTGTAATTTAAGGATGATCAAGGGAGAGAAAGTATATATGAAAACCGTCTATATTTTGACAGATTAAAATGTGCAAATTATATAAGATTTACATTGCATGCAATTAGTAACTCTTCTATAAGTTATGACCCTTTGACCATTTTGAAAGCTGTAAAATTTAAATGCAGATTTTTAGCTATTATATTTTCTCTTTTTTTTTTTGTCCATAAATACCAGCCTTCAGCCAAATTTTTGCTGAAGTGGCAGGTTGAGAATTAGAAAATTTACATTACATGGTTTTACTAGTCACAACTACTACTATGTTATAGATCATGTTGACTGTTTCCACATGAAAATTAAACAAACTATCAAAATAACCTTATTTATGGTATATCTTGAAGTATAACAGTTTTCAGATTTTTAGTTAATTGTAAACAAATGTTTTGAAAGGAGGACTAGTTTGCCTGATTAGAATAAAAGGAAATGTTGGGTAAATGTCAATGTAAAAGCAACCCAATGACAAAAAACAACTAAATATTTCTAGAAGGCAACATATTCAACAATACTCAGATGTCTATACAATATGTCATGCTCTATAAAAGTTTGAATTAAAATTAAACAAAACTAATCAAAGATCTGCTGTAAACACGAAATTCTATGAAGAACAAAATCATTAAGATATGTCGTAAGACAAAAACTGATGATGTTTCTAACTAGGGACAAGGACATGTATGTGTGCATTACAGTTTACCTGATCATTATAATCAGTTTAAATTATAGTTTGCAACCATTGATTTGTTAATTGGTCTAACTGTCCACCCAATTCATGTGAGGTCCCAAGATTTCAAACATTTATCCACTGACAATTTTTATATGGAACAGAGTCCAGTTAGGATTTCAAAAGGGCAGGGAGCCAATCATGAAAAGGGCACTTTAGCACGCTGATTGATAATTAAAAAAGGGCATGTCAAACATTGTCTTATGTAAACAGCAAAACTTTGAACGATTAAAATGACTGTCTATTTTAAATTTATCAAGAATAGATCACGTTTACTTTCGATTTTTAAACAAAATGAAAACAGTAAGTGATAAGTGGATAATAAATTTAGAATGAATCCGGATTCATCTATGGATTGGTTTGTGTTTAACAAAAAGGCAGGAAATTATCATTTCTTAAAATTAAGTTGCCCAGTAGAAATATATTTTTCTCTCTCGTTTAATTTGATACTTAAAGATTTTGTATTTAACGTTTTAGTGTCTATTAACTTTATAAAGATACGTTCACGCATGCGCGGTACTTGATAAAGAAAGCACGTTTGACTCTTGAAAATATTTTTGAATTAAGTTTTAATCTTTCTAATCGAAATTGTTAAATAAAATGTGACGAAAATACGTTCAAATGATGAAACAATGTCATCCGAGCTGCAATAAGTGATCGTGTGAGAAATTATGAAATTAAAATGGAACCCTCCGGAAAAAACAATTTTGTTCAATTGACGAAACTACAAAAACATCTATGGAAAAACATGATAAACGAACTGCAAATTGTGGTCTTTTTAGAAATATTGAAATTGAAATGCCGACTGACCAATATTACTTGGAAAAATAATTATAATAGTCAATTATGATGTTTAATTAACGAATTAGTGACCCATGCGATGGCGATAAGCGGATTACCTGTAATCACAACTTATAGCACCTGCTATTAATGTAAATTAGCGGAGGGTCATAAACTTGTCAGATACATGAAGACAGGTAGAATTATAGTATTTTCATCAAAATATTACGACAATAAAGGCATGGACATGCGAAAAAGGGCAGGGCGTCAGAAAAAGGGCACAGGGTGGCAGTCTGGAAAGGGGGGGCGGACCGCTCTGTGAAAACGATCAAGCTGGAACACTGTGGAATTTTGATATTTGGCATTTGGTTAAAAAAAGAAAGAAAATAAAGCTAAAGTACCATGCTTTTAATAAGACTAACCAGTTATAGCAAGTTTTTACTGCTAACATTGGAAATAAGGATATTATTCTGATATTAAATATCTTGTGTTTTTTGTAGATTATGTGGTTACCCACCTTTTTATAGTAATCATGGTGCAGCTATTTCACCCGGTATGAAAAAAAGAATTAGGAATGGGCAATATGAATTTCCTAATCCAGAGTGGAGTAAAGTATCAAAAGAAGGTAAGAACACTTCATTTGACTAACATTGTCTGCGAATAAGATATTGTGTAATATTAAGATGTCAACACACAGTTTATAATTAACTTGTGTATAGATGATTGTAGATGAATTTTTTCTTTGCTAAAATGTAAATCATGTTTAGTTTTTGGCAAAACATTGTATATTCAGTGACTAACTTTAAATCTCCCACTGGATGTTAAGCAACCAACAATCAATCATTCAATCAATCAACTAACTTTAAATCTCTAATGATAATGTTGGTGTGTTTCTAGACTTGAAGAATATTGTGGGGAAATGTGTTGTGTACCCTTAAAAATAAATGGAATGCAAATCACTGGTCTTTTTAATGAAAGGAAATCAATCATCATGGGAATTCTAAATTTTGACTTTTGACTTTGTTTTTTTTTTCTTAATTCAAGTATTTTCTTTACGCAAATGAAAGAGTTAAGTTTAGTTAGTCTAGAAAATTAGATGGGATTGTCTTTGACCCATCATTGAAGACCTTCCAGTGAACAAGATTGAGAACACGCAATAAAAGGACTATTCCTTTACTTTTAGATAGACATTAGAAATTGACAGAAAGGGGCATGGAATTTCAATATTGACACTTATTTATGCCTTTTTCATGAAAATTTCATCTTGAAAAGTAAAATAATTCTCACACAATTTGATTTTATTCTTTAAAAATTTGTTTCCCTTTTCAGCAAAAGATTTAATACGAGGTTTGTTGAAAACAATTCCAGAAGAGAGACTATCAATAGGAGACGTAATGTCAAATAAATGGATATCAGTAAGTTCCTTACATTCAGCAAAATATTCAATGAAATAAAAGTTCTGTGACTCCTTTCACTAAAAAAGTTTATGACCAAAAGTACTTGTAAGTCATGAACATTTTAGTTGAACTTGCAATCAGTTATTGATGTATAGGGGCTTCCATGATGTATGATCAAATAACATTCTGGGAGAGTTTATCAATAGATAAATCATTATTTTCCCAAGCTTTACCAATTTTTGACATACATATGTCACATACTAAAATACTCATTACAACACTGAAATGAGGAACGGTCAAGATGGAAATGAAACAATAACCAAATAAGTGTAATGAAAATCTCAATATTATCAAATTCTGTAACTCAAAGAAATAAGACTTGCTTATTAAAAAAAATGAGGTGTAGTGTATTCCTTTAATTTTCCTATTTTGTCAGAGTTATCTGACTTTGATTATTTAAAAGAAGACATTTACCAAAGGACTGTAGTTTGCTATAATTGAATCTGAAAATGGATTAGAAACTTTCTTTTGAATCACACATTTAATATTATAAAAATAAACCTTTGACCCAAAAAATTATGAAATCTAATTAAACTGGTACACAACCAATAAAATTGCATAAGACATCATATCTATTGATTTTGTATTCCCAGGACAATACAGTTGTACCTGATACACCTTTATTTTCTGCAAAAATACTGAAGGAAGATGAAGACATGTGGCAGGATGTACAGGTAAAAACTTCAAGTGGTTATAGTAGGATAGAAATTGAAATAAAAGACTAATTATACTCCATAGACTCACTGCTGCAAGTGTAAAGAATGGGTATAGATATATACTACCTACTATCAAGCTTGCAATGAAGCATACTGTATTTCAGTACAATGTGAAAACTTGCTGTTGAAGTTATCTCTCCATTTCATTCATGTAACCAACACTTTAATGTTTTGAGTTGGTCAAATTAAGTACAAACAATTACAGCATAATAAGAATTAAACCTTTTTATTTCAATCTCAAAGTTCAAGTAGGTCTATTGTCCAGGTGGAAACTTGTGTCAGCATAATACATGCTACACCACTCATTCATTTAAGTTTAAGGAAACCTTGTCAAAATAATACGAGCAAAATGGCATAAAAGTCATTATCAATATAAGTTCACATATTAATCACACACAAACATGTTTAACACCGCCACATTCTTTATGTGCCTGTCCCAAGTCAGGTGTCCATAATTAAGTGGTTGTCCTTGGTTCATGTCTGACATTTTTTATGCCCCACAACTAAAAGTTGGGGGTCGTATTGTTTTACCCCTGTCCGACCATCCTTCCGTCCATCCCATTATGGGTATATAGTTATTCCACATAACTCCTCCTACAGTTTGAATGCTAGGAAGTTTTCACTTTGCTGGCTGTTTGTACATATGTTGAAGGTGTGCATTTGGTCAAGGTTTTGATTTTTATTAATATTTGCTCTTTTGGGAGATAGTTGAACTTTGTTATTTTGGAGTATATACTCGCATTAGAGATGCATAGAGTTTCTGGATAACTTCTCCTACAGTGAACCATAGACCTATGTGCTCCCATGCTCAACTTTGTGTATTTTAAAATAACACTGCATCTGCGGGGGCATCATTTGTGTCTCCCAGACAGAATAATATCTCAAAGAAAGTCCTACATTGACTTTGTTATAATACAGATACTTCAAAGTGGAATGCTGTTGCATCACTTTGTCTAGTTTTTCTCATAAATTATATTGTTATTAGTCCCCTACCGACGAAGTCGAAGGGGACTTTAGGTTTGCACTCCGACTGTCTGTCCATCCGTCAGTCCGGCAAATCAGTTTCCACAATTTTTTTCTTCTTCGTGCTTGAAGATGATTTGATATTTGCTATAGTGTTTTATCATGACAAGTTACAGATCGAGTTTGAATTTTGTTCCGGTCTGATAATTTTGTGCTGAGTTATGGTCCTTGGACTTAGAAAATTCACTCAAATATTCAGTTTTCCACACTTTTTGTCGTCATGATTGAAGATATTGATGTAATAATTGGTACATTGTTTTATCATGACAAGTTACAGATCAAGTTCGAATTTTGTTCCGGTCTGATAATTTTGTGCAGAGTTATGGTCCTTGGACTTGGAAAATTCACTCAAATATTCAGTTTTCCACACTTTTTTTCGTCATTCTTGAAGATATTGATTCAATAATTGGAACATTGTTTCATCATATCAAGTTCGAATTTTGTTTCGGTCTGATGATTATGTGTAGAGTTATGGTCCTTGGACTTAGACAATTCACTCAAATAATCAGTTTTCCGCACTTTTTTTCGTCATGCTTGAAGATATTGATTTGATAATTGGTATATAGTTTTATCATGACAAGTTACAGACCAAGTTTGAATTTTGTTTCGGTTTGATGATTTTTTTGCAGAGTTATGGTCCTTGGACTTAGAAAATTCACTTAAATTATCAGTTTTCCGCACTTTTTTTCATCATACTTGAAGATATTGACTTGATATTTGTTATATAGTTTACACCATGACACGTTATAGATCAAGTTAGCATTTTGTTCCAGTACAATTAATTTTTAACCGGTAGGGGACTATGAATTGCCATGCAATACTCTCAGAATGCTTGTTTAAGTTAAATAATACTTATACTTGGTATGATTCTTTACCAAAAGACATTGATTTAATGGCTTGCTACTTTATTCTTTGCAGGAGGAAATGACAAATGCTTTAGCAACAATGAGAGTGGATTATGAACAATGTCCAATAAAGAACTTAGCAGACTCTGACAACCCTATACTTAAAAAACGAAAACTAAGAAACGAAGAACAAATGGTTTGAAATGTCATCTATTGTTGAAGATTTTAGTCAATTTAGTCATTTTGAGAATAGCAAAATATTCTTTATAAGTGAGGAGAACAGATTATTCAGATGGTTTTGTTCTTCATATGATTTTTTGATCGTTTTTCAAAGGATAGTTAAAAACATACTTTTGTTTTATATACTTGTTATGATGTTTGTTATAGTAATATTTTAGATGAACTTTTTTAAATGGAAACATCTATGGATATATTTTTTTCTGAATATTTATTAACATAAAACATTAAATAAAGTTCTGGAGAATGTGCATTGCATTAAATGCCAGGTCTTTAAATTTCTATCAGCTGAGGAAAAAGCTGTATCGAATTTGGAAGTTGTCGCTACATGACATAAATAGTTTATTACAATTTAAAGCAATTTTTCACAGAATGACAGTATTCTTCTAAATTCTGCAGGCAGGATTTTGTGTCACCTGGACACATCTAGTTTTTAGAAAATAATAATGGCCTTTTCCAATTAAGTCTGGAGGAAAAAAAGGAAACATGATTTTTATCAAAAGCAAGCTTTTTATTTTTTCCCTAATTGTGTATCTTCAAAAATATATGTTGTTAAGTGAATAACAATTGACACAGATGATGTATTAATAATGTTGTAAAATATCTGTTTTGCCATTGATAACATTGATGAACTTCCTGGTGGAATCAAGTAATAAATGTGAACTTTCTTTCTAGTTAACAGTGGTTCTCAAGGCTTTGAGAAATCCAGTAAACCATTCTTCTTAACTGGACCAGATTCTATTTTACTGGACATTTACATGCATAATTTGGACAAAATTAAAAATTTTACTGGTCATTTGTCCAGTAATGCATATCGCTTAACTGGACCATACCAATTTTTCTGGACTTTGCCCAATGTACGGTGACCTTGGGAATGATTGAGTTTATTTATCATGATCCTCTACATAAGTTAGGACTAAACAAGAAAAAAATAATAAATTGGGATGGAGAGGGTTGAACAGAATTTGTTTTCATAACCCCACCTTTTTACAGATTCAATAGAATATCAAAAGTGTTTTATATAGTGATAATGGTCTTGAGCCCAATTACATGTACTATTATTATTTTCAAAAATGTCAATCTACCAAGCATCCCTTACTTTTTGCAAATTTTCCTTGAATAACCATTATGAGGATCACTGATAAAACATTTGAATGGATACCGGTACATATAGTTCTTAAGCATTTAGTTGTTGAAAGTTTTTCATCATATGTCTGATATCATTTTGTCATATATCATTTCATGATAGAAGAAAGATTTCATGAAAACTGTATTTCGACAATAAATATATTTAGTGACTAAACATTCATCGTTTCTATCAATTTTTCTGAAAGAAGGGTATTTTCAGCAATTTTGTGCAACTAACAATGGACAGAAAACTGCAGATATTTTAAAAATAATGTAGATGAAATTATACTTTATAATAAATTTCATGCATTTAAAGCACCTTTCTGGATTTACCACACCAAGGTGAGGAGCAATATGACCGAAATGGACCTAAAATCTTAATTCATCCAAGGTCAACTTTGCCTGAGGGAGTTTGAACCTTAGTATCTAAATAATTTCTCTTGATTTAACAACGGAATTATATTTGATGAAATCATGTCAGTTCTGAGGCACTGACTACTATGCTTTTGAACTGTTAATTTATGTATACAAGTAACAACTATTCTGAAATTGTTCAGTATTGAGTATTGAAACTTTTTCCTCATCATACAGACATAAATTTACTAGATCATTGCAATATTCTGAGCATTTATTACAATCTTCACCAGTTTTAGAGAAATCATACTAAGAAAATGTTCCCACGTTTAGACAGTATATTAAGTATGTGAAAATTGATAGCAAGTGCCATAAATGGACTTTGAGAGAACAATTGAGAAATGCTTATTGTGAATAATATCTTTCAAGTTCAAACAAACTTTTCTTAATGATTAGATCGTACAGATCTTGTGACATTGAGGTTATTATTGTGAAGGGAATTCAAGAGAGAACTGCTTTTGTATTGAATATTTTTCCAAAACATAACATGTAGGTGTTATTTACAATTGAACTGAAATCTGAATGGACAGAGAAAATGGAACAGTATAAGTACAAAATATAACCTCTTCATACAAAACAATGTTATACTCACAAGGAAATTAAAGTTTACATTTCCTGATATATCCATTATAATATTTGTTTTATAAGTAGACACTTTATAAAAGTTAATGACCTTGATTATATATATATAAAACACCGTACTAAAAATAGGTTGTGATTTCATACCATTCATATTATAAATACAACCTTTTGAAACAACATATTGATATATTTAGTGAACATATTTTACATGTGGAATGTATTTTTTTCTATGAATTTAGAAATAATGTTGCATTATGGGAACTTCTTTGTTTTGTATGTTCTGATTGGTCCAGATTTTTTTCAAAGGATGCTGAAACTGAACAAAGAGGACGGAAGTTCAATCTATTAATTGATCCATATTACTTTTTCAAAGGAATTTGATATCCAAGAAAATATAAATCTCTGTAGCTTTTAGAAAGGTCACAATAAAAAAACACGGGTATCTGGCAAAATTATTTATTAGATTCTGGTCTGCACTCTTTTAAAGCTTTAGAAATCTATTGCCATAATAGTTGTAGTAAAATTTACATGTAGCTGTTAGCTTCACAGCCTATCTATAAGTGTTTACAAAGTGCAATATAATGAAGTTATCTTGTATGTTAGGTAGACCATGAAATGAAGTATAAACTAGCAATTGAAAAGGTAACTATTGCCCTTATTTGTCTGTTGAATCATTGAACTGTCTGTAGGAACAGTTTGTCTACTTTTGTTATATTTATAATAGCAAATAAATAATATATGGTTCACCAATCAATTAAACGAAATATTTACTAACTTGACACTTCAGAAATTTAGCTGTAACTGGGATGAAGAAGTAAGGTTATCAAAGCAGATTGTTTTTTCAGTATGTGACACACTATTTATTATAAGCATCTTGTCCAACTTCTTTATAAATACCATTAAGTAGTGTTGGTAGATTATTGTTATGTGCTTCATTATGAGATCATGGAGATGGGTTTTGATGAACTTGCAACTTTTACACTGTGATATTTATAATAGTGAACAGAGATCAAAGAAATAGATTCCAAACCCTGTAAATTTTTCAGTTTTTGTCGAACATAAGTTTATTATGACTAAAGTGATTGTAGGTGTCTTGCTGTGTTGATTTTGTCATCGCTCCACGAACAATGAATCAGTAATTACCGGTAGCTTTAGAGGGCTAAGATATAAGCCTCAGATCTTGTGTAATCTAAATGGATTAGTATATGCATACTTGTATTGCTTCCATTTTATAATTTCTTAATTAATAACCAGTGGAAATCTGTCAAGGATTATGATTTACTTCACAAATGGAGAACTTGCAGTTTCTTTGTACAATGTGTTGCTCTTTTGAAACATATTGGCCCCACTCTAAAAGTGGAAGCTATATTGCATTCACCTGGTCTGTCTGTGTGTCTATTTGTCAAACAAATATTTCTGTCACACTTTTCTTAAGTACTACTGAACAGTATGGTTTCATATTTTGTCAGCAGTTTTGCAGTGATGAGTATTATTCAGATATTTGGGAATTTGGACATCAACTTCATGTTGTATTGATACTTTAGATTTTGTAATATGTTGAACAAACTAAAAAACATTTGTCACATTTTTCTTGTGTACTACTTAACAAAATAACTTCATACTTGATCAGCAGCTTCACATTGATGAGTTGTTACATGTGAGAACTTTTCAGATTTGTGTGATACCTACTTCCTGTTTGCCGATACTTTGAATTTATCAATATTTTGAATGAACTTAATATTTTTCATCACGCTTTTCTCAAGTACTACTGTACAGAACTACTTCATATTTAGTCAGCAGCTTATCAGTGGTGTGTTGTAACATGTGAGCATTGGATCTGTATGACACCTACTTCCTGTTATCTGATACTTTAAATTACAAGTGGGGGTATGCTTAGCACAACATCATGTGCAGTCTTGTTAAGCGTTTGAATGATATGTTGATGATTTTGGTTATTTTGCTAGGATATCAGCCAATCAGCTATTTTCTAATATGTGCTACTGACTTCTTGATTGCAAGTAATGTAAAGTGTGGTCCAGTTTATTTAAAAGCTAAGGACTTAATGATGCTAAGCTGATAAGTATAGTTTTGGTTCTGAATGAAAGATTTATTTCTTGATTTACATCTGAGAAGTAGTCCACAAAAAAGTTTGGAAAATAAACACAAATAGGGATTCTGGAAAAGGGGTAAAGTAAAGAATATGATGGTGATTCCAAAATCAGGGCAGACATTCTTCTGTGTCAATAAGCCAAATACTCAAAATTAGGAAGTAAAAGTATGAGTGTTGTATCTCACATATTTTCTGTTATGTAATGTTAAAGTGAAAAATGAAAACATGTTCTCTGTTGTTATAAGTAATACCCACACTGCTTACTTGATTAAATATATTTAGAAAGTTGTTACACTGTATTTTCATGATTGTTATATCATTATACTTGACTTAACACTACTATATTTTGTTTCATTGTTAAGAATACTTGAACAATTAGAGAGATACTTGTGAAATTGTGATATATTTTGTTTCGTATGATTGAGAAAATGTAAACAATAAAATATTTGTAATTTTTTGTGTAAATTTGCCTTACCAGCTTGACATTTCTTCTCATGTTAATTGAAAACATGCCTCTGATTCTGGTAGTCATTCTTCTGTTTATACATATTGAGCTCACAGTTTGAGTTGTTGGTATATCATCCTTAGTATCTGTAAGCAGTTAAATTTCTTGGGACAGTTCAACTTATTAAAACTAAAATAACTGAATTATGCTAAGATGATATACCATCCAAAATAATGAATAACAATTGGGTCATTTTAATCTACATGGTCAATATTTCTTAACATTAAACATTGTTCGGTCTTTCAAGGTTATATTTGATGACACCTGCCATTACATATATTCTATAAACAGAATACCTGTGTATGTTGTGTTTTTCTAGCTCTCCTGGCTAAAAGGTCAGTGTGAGCTGTTGTCATCACTTTTTGTTTGTCGTCTTTTACAAAAATCATCTCCTACTGGGCAAAATTGAACCAAAACTTGCCACAATCCTCCTTGTGGTATCTAGTATAAAAATTGTTACATGGCTTCAAAGGCTAGAAATAGAACCTGGGGTAAATTGCAAGTGTCATCTAATATTTTGAAAACTGTTATAGATAATCTGACAAGATCTACAAGATCCAGAAAAGATCTACAAGATCCAGAAATGGGACAAACAGCAGAAATTGTCTATCATCTCCTTACAGTAGTAGTTGCTCTTTAATTATGATTTGTACTTTATCTTCCATGTTTGGCTAAAGCTATAGTAGATGAAGAAAGACGAGATATATAACATAGCTAGAACTGTCAGAAGACTCATTATAGGAGTTTTGTTATTAAATGACAAGTTTTACCCTTTCTTTGTGTATTGATTAAAAAAAAACTATAGTAGAAAGAGAGAAACTGTAAACATAGGAAATGATCAGCAGCACAAGATAAAAATAAGAGATTTTAGTAATGATTTATATTCTAGTCTATACTGTTGGAGATTTTTGAAGATGCACAATGATCCAGGTGAGCAACACATGCTTTTTAGAGCCTTTAGTTTAATTTATGTTGATAAACTTAACAACAACATTCATTTATTAGTATTTTTAGATGGTTCTCTATTGATGCTTTACCTGTTGGTCTTCCCTGACAATAAATGTTCACCATTGCCAAAATAAAATATGGACAGTATATTAATACATGTATTATTGTCTTGCCTGCAATAACTGGGAAACAAGATACAAGTAAAAATTTTCAAGTATCATTGTTTGTGGCATTGTCAACACCCAATTTTAAGTTTTCTGATAAGGCCCATTTCAGAATAAGTACTTTGGATGGTATTGTGTATACAGAATAAGTACTTTGGATGGTATTGGGTATACAGTTCATTTGCATTTTTGTGTCTTATTTGCATGTACTACATTATAGCAGTTTCTTCTAAGTAACATTTTAACGTGGCATTTTTACCTTATCCGGTCAATTGGGTCATGTGAGCTGTTATCACTTTGCATCCATGGTCTATTGTTAACTCTGTAAATAAATCTTTCCCTCTGAAACAACTGGACTCATTTTAACAAAACTTGGCCTCAATGATCCAGTAAGATATATTTGTATGCAAACTTTGTGAGTTTTATCCCCAAAACAATAGTCTTGCCATTACTTTAAAATAGGACATAAGGATATATGCAAATTATTGTCTAATATCTTGAGTTCATAATAGATAAGAGAAAATCTTATTGAATGCAAGTGTGGATCTATCTACATTTCATTTATAACAAAATTATCAAACAACTCCCTTTAATTGAGGAGTTATTGCCCTTGACTGGGTCAATATCCCTAATGCACTTCATGTGAGGATGTAAAAAAAAATCAATGTGCAATGATATTGGACATGTTGCTACCTATTCTCCCTGAAAAAATCTGTTGTATACAGTAATTATTCAGTCTGTCCATTTATCTGAATCAATTTGTTTCTGTATGATAACTCAAGTAACCCTTGCTTAAATTGGAATTCAACTTCTACAAAGGGAAGGAGAAGAAGCCTATTGAATTTTGGGTTAATAGTTCAAAGGTAAAAGTCACTTATTACAAGAACGATTTAGGAAAAAGGGTTTCTGGATGGTAACTTTTGTTTCCCTTGCTTGATTGGAATTCAACTTATACAGATTGAAGATATAGGAAAGGGGAAAAGCTTACTTATTTTGGGGTCAGTAGTTCAAAGATCAAGGTCACTGTTTCTAAATATAAAACCACTTTGGAAAAAAGATTATGGTAATTTGAGTTTCCCTTGTTTGATTGGAATGAAACTTATAAACTAGTAGACGCCTATTGAGATTTGGGTCAACATTTCAAGGTTGCTTTTACTAAAATATACTTTTTCTTTTAGATTGGTCGACGGATGATATCCCGCTATGAATTGTAAATCATTATACAGGTGAAAAATAAGCAATATTAGTAATGTTTATTTGTCCCTCCAATCATATTTATAAGTATTTATACTTGAAATAAAAAATGTTGTCTCTGGGTTCATACTAAAATTCCAACATACTTTTAATAGAGTGGAAATCATGTGTGAAATGATATCTAACATCCTGATCCAAATACGTTATCGAATTTTTCTAAATCGTCCTGAGGATAGACATCAAACTTATGAAGTCATCAATATAAACTGTGCCAATACTTCATGATTTGTGAAGAATAGATTCGGTGTCATTTGGAAATCGAGTGAAAAACAATCAAAAATTTTTCAAGATCTATCCCGAGCCCCCTGTGACACTTTTTGATGCCATCAAATAATTAGAGAGATATGCTGGTACGAGTTGGAGTGTCTAAACCCAGCGTTGTTTCTGGAGAGGTGGTGACAAACTCTGTAAATGCTGCACACAGATGTATCACTTATCAAAAGTCATTAGTAATGCCACCTAAAGAAACTACAAATGTTCCGTCTGTGGCCGCCAATATGTTGTTGACACACAGATGTATCACTTTTATCAACATTCATTAGTAATGCCACCTAAAGAAACTACAAATGTTCCGTCTGTGGCCGCCAATATGTTGTTGAATCTAAGCAGCCATTCCATAAACGCCGTAATAGACACAGGAATGATGTTACAACGAAACCATATCACCCTGTGTGTCAACCCTTTTAGAAAGTCGGATCACATCCTCATTGATTTCAATCGAACGAAAGTTCTTGTCATTTACCAGAAAAGTCACTGGAATTATACTTATTGAGGGCACCGGGGAAGATTTGGGATACAAGGAACTTAAAATCTTGCAACCTTAAAAAGAAATAGCACAAATTTTTACATGTATTATCACATTTTGACATTTTAGGATGTATATGTACACGCACACATTCAGTATTAATTTATGTTTATTATGAATTCAAGTTCACGGATAAAATTCATAAGTATAAGCTAATGACATTATAAAAGGGAATATAAACAATTGTCATTTAGTATTATCAGGGACAAATGATAGACACTGACAAAGGGCATATTTTTTCTTTCGTTTTCTATTTTATAATATTCATCATGTATATGTTCCTGTACAATCAAAACCAGGTGTATTCCTGTACATTCAAAACCAGGTGTACTTTGATTCCTCCACAGCCAATGTCAGGTGAATTGTTGTTCATAAAACTTTCCGGTATTGATTTGTTAATGATCTTATCATGTCTCATTTTTACCATTCCTGTTACATTTCTTTTAAATCAAAATATAATTTTATCTTGATACTTCCGTCTTTTCGTGTTGTACATTATCCCGGAGCTGTCCATTCGTTCATTAGATAAGGAATTTCAAGTGATTCCAGGACGTCCGTGTCCGTCTGCCCAAAATATATGTCCTTGGTCTGACCTCCCGGTATTTACTTTTCCTTCTCAAACAATTGTAAACACATTTTTTCCGAGAACTCAAGGATAAGCAAACATATAAGTGTAGGCGGTCGGTTAATTATGCATTATAACAATATCATAAATCACTATCAGTTAACATGGTTTAATTAAAAAGATAATATATGGTTCGTATATAGTTGACCTGGTTACATATTTCAAAAACAAGGACATGGTTACATATTTCAAAAACAAGGCATAGTAATGGCAAAAGATCTTACTGATGTGTTGTCTTCATTTCAGCTTAACTGACTAGTATAACACACGATATAGGTAAAATCTCTTTGTACTTGCTGTGCTATAATCTGGATAATGCATAGCTAAGGTGTGCATTAACTACTGTACTTCGATATACTGCACAGTTCAAATGTACTCTTACCTGTAGGGGCGGATCTAGGACTTTTCAAAAGGGATGCGTAATTCCATGAAATGGAAGAATACTACCAATCAAAAGGGGGTGGGCGTACGCCCTCTTCATTCCCCCGAATCCGCCACTGTCCTTGCAATTACGACATAGTTGATCAATTAATTACTTTGTACACACTCAGTTTAATTGAGGTCTGGAGCTGGCATGTCAGTAACTGCTAGTAGTCCTTTGTTAATATATGTTGATTATTGTCATTTTGCTTAGTTTCTTCTGTTGCCTATTCTAACATCGGACTCGGACTTCTTTTAAACTGAATTTTACTGTGCGTATTGCTGTGTGTTAGTTTATTCCACATTGGCTAGAGGTATAGCTGGAGGATTGAGATCCCTAAGAACATGTTTAACCCCGCCGCTTTCTTTGCGCCTGTCCCAAGTCAGGAACCTCTTTCCTTTGTTAGTTTTGTATGCTATTTTTAAATTTGGTTCATTTATATGTTTCGGAGTTTAGTGTGACGTCCATTTTTGCTGAACTAGTACTGTGGATTCATTTATTTTCGTGGGTATCAATTTTCGTGGATTCAGGAAAACTTGCATTTACGTGGATTAATTTTGTGGTTTTTTGCCAATCTCTGCATACAAAGCTTATGGAAAATTTGTCATTCGTTGAACATTTGAATTTGTGGTTCACCTGTACCCACGAACATTAATATCCAATGAATAATAATGAATCCACAGTACACATTATTGTTTAGTGGCCAGCTGAAGCCCGCCTCCGGGTGCGGGATGT